AAGAGAAACTGGACTATCTGGCATCGGGCAGAACTGAAGGGTGGCTTTCTCTCAGAGGTGCTTGCAGCGATCATTGTTCCTGCATGGTGACTCAGGACACAGAGGCACTGGACCTCTTCCAGGCAGGGCTGACAGTCAGCAATTGCCGTTTGCTCTGCCCTAGTAATTCCCTGAGACCTGGACAGCAGCTTGCATTGCTTCACACCTGGACCTCATTTGGGCACCGCCAAAACCCAAACAAAGAGAATGAATCTGAAGATATCTCTGTAGCTCCTGCTGGGTAGCCTCTCTCATTGGAGATCCAAGAGCCAGTGTACCCAGTGGTCAGAGAGAGACCATCCAGACTACTATTCTTCACACCCATAAGAGACACACTTAGGGGGCAGACCCAGTGAGCGCCAAAGCCCCACTGAAGTAAGTCTTGCCCCATAAGGGTGTCTCCAGCACAGCAGTTCTCCCATCACAGATACAACTGATCCTCACAGCCAATTAGCCTGGAGGTCAATTCCTCCCAGTGATACCAACAACAATCAAGGCTTAACTATAACAAGACTGTGAACACAGCCCACAAAGGGATTCACCAAGAGTGTCCACCTCAGGTAATTAGGGAGCCTGAACCACTGGGCCACCTAGCACACAAAGCCACACTATCAACTCAAGGAAGCAGCCAAATGTGGAGACAAAGAAATAGGTCACAAATGACAGAAATGGAGGAAAGCAAACTACTGGATATAGAGTTCAAAATTATGGTTACAGGGTTACTCAAGAATCTTCTAGAAACCACGGATAAATTTAGTGAGACCCTGAAGGATATGAAAAAGGACCAACTAGAAATTAAGCATACATTGACTGAAATAAATAATAATATACAAATACAACAGCAGCCTAGAAGATCCCAAGGATCGAGTCAAAATTTGAGATACAAAGAAGCAAAAAACAAACAAACAAAAAAAAACACCCAACCGGAAAAGCAAAAGGAAAAAAGAATAAAAAAATATGAAGATAGGGCAAGGAGCCTCTGGGACAACTTCAAGTGTACCAACATCAGAATTATGGGGGTGCCAGAAGAAGAGTGAGAGTAAGAGCCTGAAAACCTATTTGAATAAATAATTACAGAAAACTTCCCCTAGCTGGTGAAAGAAATAGACTTACAAGTCCAGGAAGTGCAGAGAACCCCAAACAAAAGAATCCAAAGTGGACTACACCAAGACATATCATAATTAAAATGCCAAGGGCAAAAGACAAAGAGAGAATATTAAAAGCAGCAAGAGAAAGACAGTTAGTTACCTACAAGGGAACACCCATACAACTGTCAGCTGATTTCTCAGCAGAAACTATGCAGGCCAGAAGGGAGTGACAAGAAATATTCAAAGTGATGAATAGCAAGAACCTACAATCAAGATTACTCTACCCAGCAAAACTATCATTTAGAATTGAAGGTCAGATAAAGAGCTTCACAGACAAGAAAAAGCTAAAGGAATTCATCACTGCCAAACTAGTATTATATGAAATGCTAAAGGATATTCTTTAATAAGAGGAAGAAGAAAAGGGTAAAGACAAAAATTATGAACAACAAAGTGACAACAAATACATATCTATCAACAAGTGAATCTAAAAATTAAGTGAATAAAAAATCTGATGAACAGAATAAACAAGTGAATATAATAGGATCAGGGGCATAGCCTAACAATTCTGGGGGGGAAAGTGGTGTGGGGGTGTGGAAAGAGACTGGACAAAAATCATACACCTATGGATGAGGACAATGTGGGGGAGTAAGAGGAGGCATGGGAACTGAATGGAGGGGAGCTTTGGGAGGAAAAAGAGGAACAACTGCAATAATCTGAACAATAAAGATTTATTAGTGAAAAAAATGAAAAATAAAAAAATATATAATTAAATAAAAATAGCAGTATAAGCATGTTATTTAGAAACATAAAATTTATGCCAATAGAAACAATTAATAGAGCTAAAATTACTTGGCTTTGCTTTAAAAGTGTAGACTATGGCACTAGACTTCCTGGGTTTGAATCCTATTTCTACCCTTTACTAGTTGGGTGACCTTAGTCAAGTCACCCAAGTTCTCTAGTGCCCATTCTCTTAGTTAAAAAATAGGGAATAATAACAGTTTTTATCTCATAAAGGTTTCTCAGGACTGAGTTAATACTTAGAATAATGCCCAACAGTAAGTAAATGCTTAGTATTATTATTATTGATAGAGATCAGAAATTGGGGTGAGGAGGAGATTGTTATTTCTTGCAACATGACTATCAGTAATAGTTACCTTTTAAATTGCACAATTGTTGCTTTAATATAAAGAACTTAAATTTTTAAGAATAAATTAGAAGTGAGGAAATGGAAAATCTTTTAGGGAATTTTCTGTGAGGGAAAGGAGAGTGATAGTTTAATAGCTACAGGAATTGGGAGGTAGAGGAAAGTTGTGGGTATTATTATTATTATTATTATTGATAGGTGAGATATAAATGAGTTTAAAAGTGCATGTTAATAGGCCTACTAAAGCAGTAAAGAAATTAAAGTAAGGAAAAAGAAGGCATGTAACCAAAGCACAAATGAAGGAAAATCTATTCCATTATAACCAGAAGGAAGATGAATGTGATGGATATGATTGTAGGTATGTCCTGAAGTTTGGTATGAGATATTGAGGAATTTATTATTTCATACCTACCACTCTCTCGGTAAAATAGGAGGTAAACTTATTTGCTGAGCATGAGCAGGAAGGTGGAAGGGTTGGAATTTTGAGATGAGTACAGAAAATTTGAAATAGCTATTATGGAAATAAGGAAAAAGGGAAGCTGACCAAAGCAACACGAAGGATTTCAGGTAAGTAATAAGGGCCAAAGTGAGATTAGAGGCTATGAATTTGTGGTGTAGTAGTATCAATCTCTTTGATTATATGATTTTCTCCAGCAGAATTCTGCAACTCAAATATAGCATGAAAAATGTGGGAATAGATGGGTTGACCTATTATCAGGATGGTGTGATAAAAAGGCAGTGTGGCAAGGGAATTGGGGTTTTTAAAGAAAGTAGCTGAAGTGAGAAATCTAAATAGGCCAAAGAAAGAAGTGAAGGCAGTTGTGAAGACAGTCAGTAGCTGGTAGGTAGGAATCAGAATTTAGAGGTCCCAATGAAGCTAAAGAATAGGTGTACTAGAAGAAAAACAGACAACTGTAAATACAGATGTTGTAGTTATAATTTGTAATGTTTTTTATTTATGATCTAAGTGTAATAATAAGTGATGGTGCAGGTTAGCATGTGGGCCATGGAAGTGGGTGGATGAAGTGGAGCAAAAGTGAGGGTCACTGGAGGAGGATATGGAAAAGAGCCAAGGGACTAGATGACTAGAGTATTAAATGGGTCAGCCATGTGGATGCTGCTAACATCACCAAACTAATGGCAGAAGCAATAAAAAGAATATTGTGAACCTAGAGCCAAAGTCTTCAATGAATGAGAGGGAGATAGAAGATCAATTCTGGCCTAATGGGCCCCTATTGCCCCTTGAAGTCTTAGTGAACAACTATAATGAACAACTAGGGGCCTGGTGCATGAAATTCATGCACTGGAGGTGGGGGGGTCCCTCAGCCCAACCTATCCCCTCTCCCATACTGGGAGCCCTCAGGGGATGTCCTATTGATGGCTTAGGCCCATGCCCCACAGGGAGCAGACCTAAGCCGCAGCCTGGCCTCCCTTTGTGGGAGGCAACTGGGCTGATCAGGGGAAGGCACCAGTCCCATAACCCTGCTGCTGCAGCCACTGCCAGTCACCACAGTCACCAAGGTTTTTTCATCAACAAAGACTCCAGTCCCTTCACCAAGAAAAAAATGACAACTTTCTTTAGGCATTTTCAAGATGTGTCTTTCATAGTATATGCAATTCTTTATTTTTTCTTTTATCCTCACCTGAGGATGTTTCCATTGACTTTTCAAGAATGCAGAAGAGAAAGGAAAAGACAGAGAGAAAAATCAAAGTGAGAGGAACACTTTGCTTGGTTGCCTCCTGCATGAGCCCTGATCTGGGCCCCGGCCAGGGAGAAGCCTGCAACCTAGGTACATACATGCCCTTGATCAGAATTGAACCCAGACCTGTCTGCAGGCCAAGGCATTATCCACTGAGTCAAACTGGCTAGGGCAGGATATGACATTTCTTAGACCCTCCAGCAGCGGACCTTCATTTTTTTCTCCAGAAGTGTGATGGAAAAACCCTAGATCACCTTTTTGAATTCTTATTGCCCAAACCATTAAGAATATTACCAGTGGCATACAGGAAGCTTAGCCAATGTGCAATCAGAAAAGGTGTTTCCTCTATAGTTCACACCAATGGAGGGCTGGCCGAAGCTTTAGGCCTGGGCAGGGGCCCTCCAGCTCCCTCTGATCACCGGCTCACCCCCTGCCCAGGCCTTCCCAGGCCGAAGGCCACTTGGGCAAGAGCGGACCCCCAGCTCCCTGCTATCGATCACAAGGGGTCTGCTCCTGCCCAGGCCAAAATCTTCTGCCCGATGCTTTCCAGCTCTCTGCACCAAGCTAAAGTAACCCTCAGCTCCCTGCGATCAATGGCAAGGGGTCCGCTCCTGCCCAGGCCTTATCTCACAGTGACCTGGTGCCAAGATGTTCCTGGGACACAGGCCCTGGGCGCCTATGTATGCAAATTAACCACCATTTTGGGGGGAGTTAAATTTGCATAGTCACTTTGATTGGCTATAGGTGTAGCGAAGGTATGATCAATTTACATGTTTGTCTATTTATTAGGTAAGATGTTTCACTGTGTACTTCAGAGTCTTTGCAAATGAAGAACTGGTAGGCTGCAGAGACAGAGAAGGTTGCCAGAAATCAACAGGACAACCCATCACCAATGCTTAGGAACTAACTAGCTGGTAAAATCTTCAAGTGGCAACTGCTACATACATGCCTGAACAGAATCAAATGAATGACTTTAAGCTGGTCCCTTTTCATAAGAGTAGGCATGTCAAAAGAATATAAGGAACTTACCTCTCAGCAATATTTTTTGCAGACTGGAGAAACCGTGCTTGGTCATTTTCTTTCAGGATATGCTCAGCTTGGTTGATGAGGACTGTTGACCGTTCAAGACACTGGCGACAATTAGCAACCTGCTGTGCCAACTTTCTCAGTTTCATAACCTTAAAGTAATTAGCAACAGAAAAATAAGAGAAAACATCCAGAGGTTAATTAAAAACAACAGGAAGAAGATCTGTTGCAGTGACTCTAAAAATAAGGCCAATTCACATTAATAACCAATGGTCTCTTTATTAACCATTCACCTTCTCACCCTACCCTCTATGTTTGTCATGCCAACTCCTCCTCCTATCTACAGCCTGCTTACTTATCCTGCAACCCTATATACTCTAGATTATCTGCTCCTCTTTTTATTGATAATGTTAATTTTTCTGGCCATAAAAGCAATGCATGCTCATATAGAAAATGTAGAAAATAGCCCTATCCAGTTTGTTCAATGGATAGAGCATTGTCCTGAAGACTGAAGGGTCTTGGGTTCAATTCTGGTCAAACGCAGGTACCTTGGTTGAAGGCTTGATCCCCAGCCCAGGTCAGGGCATGTATGGGAAACAACCAATCAATGTGTCTCTCTCACATCAATGTTTCTCTGTGTGTGTGTGTGTCTCTCTCTCTCCCTTCCATTCTCTCTGAAAATCAATGGAAAAATATCCTCGGGTGAGGAGTGACAAAATAAAGAAAGAAAAGAAAAGGAAAAGTATAAAAAGATAGCCAACCACCCAGGGATCACCATTGTTTACATTTTATTGTCAATACATTTTCACATACATGTTTAATAAAAAATACCTCCTCTTTCTTTATGATGCTCTACATTTGTATGTATATATTTCTCTAAGTACCTTTACATAAACCTTTGTGTTCACAGATCTGTGTTCCCAAAAACTTCAATTCCTGTGTTAGCTGGAACCACCCAACATGGCATAAAGTATTGGTCCCCACTCCAGGCTCTCATAACATCTCACAATGTATACACTGCATGGGTTTTAATCACTACACTGATCGGCAGACCAACAATTCTAAAACCATATAAATGCACGGAGTCTCATACCTGATTTTCTTGATCATGATTCTTCAGTTCTCAAGCTAAAAGCCTAGAAGTCTTCTCTCTGTCCTTCATCTTTTCCATCTAATAAGTTGATGATTCTCATAATTTCCTTCTAGAGATGTCTGTTATGTTCTTCCTTTCAGTTAGTACTGCCACTTCTCTGGGTTAGGTCTTCACTAACTCATACCAAGAATCATTCCATAAGTTTCCAAACTTGCTTTCTATATACCCTGCACTCCTCTGCCATATCAATCAGTCTTCTCTCTTCCTAAGAAACTAGAATGGTTTACCTATGTCTTTCAGATTAACCCCAAAGTCTTTATCATGGCATTCATGGTCCTACCATAATTCTGGCCCACGTTCCCACCACTATATTTTTTCTTATATTGACATATAACATATATACAGCAAAACATCCAAATGTGAAGTATGCAACTCAGTTATATTTTTTGCATATACATATACCCATGTTACCACCAACGAGGTCAAGATAAAGAATGTTTCCAATGCCCTATCACTACAAGCATTTATATGGGATTCACAGCATTAAGCCAAACATTGCTTCTTTGCCTATCTCCCTAAAACCTCATTTCTTCTTGTTTTCATGATCCAAATTCAAACTAGAATCTTCAGCATAAAACCTTAACTTTTGTAAAGTCAACTTTGCCTTGACCTCACTGAAGTGTTGTGCTTTACCTTTGTCTCTTTGATTTTGACAGCAATCATTTGCTTCCTCTGCTGGATGATCTCTATCAACTCGTCACATTCTTCCATAAGTTTTGCCTCATGCATAGCAGTATTCACCTGCCAAGAAAGTCCATAATATTACACAGTGATTGCTGCCTTTGTCCTCTGCTGGATTTCTGAAAGGTTCGGACTGACAGCTAAACATGCACAACTTCTTCCATACCTCCCTCATAAGATCCACTCCTAGAAGAAGGGTAGAGATGATGATATTAATGATGCAAGGGCATTGAAGCACCACAGACAGGAAACTCTCCGGCCTCTGGTAGATCATGATGATTAATGGAAGGCTGGGCAGAAGGACAGATGAGATGGGGGCACGTTATTCCCACTGTGCAATTCCCCTTACTCCAGCACCCTGTCCTCCTGCTGTTCTTTTGGAAAGAGGGTAAGGAAATTTAAATACATCAAGGAAAGACTATTCCTCTTTGCAAGAGCAATGATATCAAGATAATATTACAACAACCTATTTCTACCATCCTAACAAAAATGTTTTCAGTTTTCTTTATTCCCTTCTAATTTTAAAATATATGAATGTACAGCTATATATTCACAATAAATACACGAGTGTAGATATATTTTCACATAGCTGTCATCATGTTTCAGTAGGTATTTCTTATCTTGAGCTGTCCAATATCTGAAGACCTTTCTGATTTGGGGATATTTGCTACATCAAAGTATTTCCATTGCAAAATCAGGGTGGGGTTAGGGAAAAAGAGCCATCATTGTTGGTTATTTTTCCACATACCTATTTTGCCTTCTTTCCATCTCTACTACTATTAACACTAGATGGTATGACGCTCCCAAAAGGGTTAAATGAGAGCAGGGGATCTTTGGGCTACCCTAGTATAAAGGAAAAGGAAATCAACTTATATCTTTTTAAACACTTAATGTACTAACTATGTTATAGATAAAATTATTTCATGTAATTATCATAAACACTTTATAATATAAAGCCATTTTTATCTCCATTTTGCAGATGGGAAAACTGGGGCTCAGAGACTTTTAGTAACTTGCTCAAGATTACACAGCTAGTAAGTGGTAAAACCTGAGTTCTGTCAAGTGAGACCATTGAGTTGGCTGGATGGGCAGACAAGGTTCCATTTCAGCAGCACACAGAGCAGTCATACAGGGAAGCACAATCATTCCAAGAGTCTATTCAAGGATCACTCAAGTAGAGCTCTAGAATACTGAGGACTAGACAATGGGTTACTTAAGCATCAAACATCAAGGGGCCAGATGTGCTTCCTTAGCAAAGTAGAGCTGCATTTCCAATTGCTAGCTCTCTTCAGAGAGTTATTTCATATATTCCAAGTTTAGAAAAGCACCTGTCACTGGACTCTGCTGTCTCCTCTCTGATCTTCTAAGGTCCCCAATTAGCCAATTTTCTGTTTTATTCTTAACTGAAATAAAATGTGCTTGCTGAATTTTAACCTTATTTTGTTTTATTTCCATTTTCAGAGGGAATGCTAAAATGAGAGTTTCCATTTATTTTAAATGAACAGTCCCACTCCGGCCATTCTAATTTTTTTTTTTCTGATTCCTCACCCTTTCCCTAATTTATATCTATCTTTCCAAGGAAATAATTTCACCCTTTCAAGGACCTCCGACTTATGTGAGAATAAGAGATTCATCTTTTCATCCAGTGCTCCCTGGATCTGTGCTTAGAGTATCTGGAGACTTAGACCATTCTTATCTATAGTTTCTTTTTGAGGCTGCTGATGGTGTAGTTTTAATGTCTTGTGCCTTATAATTTAGGCTTTGGAATAACCTTTACATAATACTATATGACAGGTATTGTCCTAATCAGTTTACATGGACAGTCAGCCCTACATATCTGCATGTCCTGCATCCTTGAATTCAACCAACCACAGATTGAAAATATTCGGAGAAAGGAGTGGCAGTTACGTTGTAGCCCAGCCAGTGTGGCTCAGTTGGTTGAGCATCTTCCATGCACTAGGAGGTCGCTGGTTCAGTTCCAGGTTAGAGCACATGTTTCTATCTCTCTCTCTCTTCCTCACTATGAAATCAATAAAAACATATTTTTTAAATGTTACATTGTTGTTGATGTGTACTATGATTGTTGCATCTGTGCTGAACATGTACAAACTATTTTTTCTTATCATCATCCCCTAACCAATATAGTATAATAACTATGTACATAGCATTTACATTGTATTAGGTATTATAAGTAATTGATAGATTATTTAAAGTATAGAAGAGGATGTGTATAGGTTATATGCAAATACTATGCTATTTTATATAAGGGTCTTGAGTATTTACAGATTTTGGCATCTGTGAAGGGTCCTGGAACCAGTCCCCTACAGATATAATTGTAGTAGTTCTTTCAATCACCGAAACAACTCAATGAGGCAGGTACCATTAATCTCATTTTACGGTTGAGAAAACCTGAGCAAAGCAAAGTGACTTGCTCAAGGCCATATCTTTAGTAAGTGGCAGAGATGGGATTTAGAACCAGGATATCCAACAAGAGTCTACAACTGTTTTTAAAAGTTTTAAATATGTTTTTACTGGTTTCAGAGAGAAAGGGAGAGGGAGAGAGAGATAGAAACATTAATGATGATTGGCTACCTCCTGCACGCCCTCTACTTGGGATTGAGCCCACAACCCAAGCATGTGCCCTGACTGGAAATCAAACCATGACCTCCTGGTTCATGGGGCAATACTCAACCACTAATCCACACTGGCCGGGCATGGAGTCCACACCTTTAACCATCACACTACACTTCCTCCCAAGATGAGTGTAACAAAATCCCTATCTTTAAAAAAAAATCCCTATTCTTAATTTCTGACCATTGTTCCTTCTTTTGCACATCCATCTTTATTCTGTCATCCCATTCTCTTTAGTCATTTCATACTACTTATTCTTCCACTACATTTCTTGCACGTCCATGTCTTGTGCCTTTACTCAAGACACTCCTTTCACTTACTAGTAAGTCATTTCTCTATATTGTATAGGCTGCATGGGCAACCAGACTGGTGGTGGTGGAGGGGCAGTAAGGGATGACCAGGCCGGCAAGGGGGGACAGTTAGGGGTGACTAGCCTGACAGAGGGGGGCAGTTGGAGGTGACCAGGTGGCGGGGAGGGGTAAGGGATGATCAGGCTGGCAGGGGGGACAGTTAGCAGTGATCAGGCAGGCAGGCAGGTGAGCAGTTAGGAGCCAGTGGTCCCAGATTGTGAGAAGGATGTTCAACTGAATTGGCAGTAGGACATCTCCCGAGGGGTCCCATATTGGAGAGGGTTCAGGCTGGGCTGAGGGGACTCCTGTGCACAAATTTTGTGCACTGGGCCCCTAGTATTCCTATAATACTTTATATGTAAGTTAATTATACCATTTACTACCTTATGTCATAGGTATTCATTAGTTTGTCTTTTCTACTCACACATAAGCTCTGGAAGCCAGGGGTTGTGTTTTATTTGCCAGCATAGTAAGTGGCATATGGTAGATGTTCAGTAAATATTTGTTGAATTGAATGAGAGGAGAAATGTATCTCACTGCTTGCTAGACATTCCCATGTGGTTACTCAAGTTACCCTAAATGCAATATGTCTAAAAACAAACTCATCATCTTCCCTCTAAATCTGGCTTTCATTCCTGATTTTCTTTTTTCTTTTTTTGTTAATGTTACTATCGTTATTGTAGTTTTCAGGTTTAGTTACCTGTGACTTCTCCTTCTCCTTCTTCCCCCTCATAAATCCATAGCAGTCCTAAATCCTTCCATCTTTTTCTTTTTAATTTCACTAAGTTCTTCTGGTAATACAATGAGGCTCTGATCCAACGGACCAATAAGTTGAAGTCCTAATCACTCTTTTTAAACTATTGTTGTAAGAGCCTCATTCATTCATTCATTCCCCTACCTCCATAATCTTCACTTTGCTCCATCCTATACTCAGAAACCAAAAGAATCATCACAATCTTCATCATCAAACGTGTATTAAGCATGTCTTTTGTACAATGTCCTCAATAAATTTGCAATCAGGCTAGTGAAAAGCCACACATATAAAAAATATAATAAACCAAGGTGAATACCAATAAGTAATGTAGATTATAATATACAGAAATTAACAAAAAAGATCATTCTTCGTGGGAAAGTGGAGAAAAAATGCCTGAATGAAATGTGACTTGAACTGAGCCTGAATGATGGATAGCACACAGATAAAAAGGAGAGAAGGAGGGAAAATTTGAGCCAAGCCAATATGATTGAGCCTTGTTCTTTAGTTAATATGGTATCTTTGGAAAGTAATTTTTTTTTTTTTTGGAAGAAGGAGGGTAAGAAGGTTGGAGAATGAGCACAGTTAACTTTTTAAAAAGATGTACTGGGTCCATACCCAAGATGGTGGTAAATAGGTGGATGTTACATTCACCTTCTCCCAGGACCAAATGGGAATTACAACTAAAATATAGAACAATCAACCTAAATAACCAATTGAAGAGTAACTGAATAGAAGACTTATAACCAAGGGTTTATAGAAGAAGCCACATTGAGACTGGTAAAAAGGGCAGAAATGTGAAAAGGGCTGGAAGGTGCCTGAAGTTCTAGAGGAATATCTCAGTAGCAAAGGTTCCCTCTGAGAAATTGGGGTCTCAACTGCATGCTGGACTCCCCAGCCCAGAATACCAGAACCAGGAATAGGCACCTCAATAACATATGACTGTGAAAATTGAGGGAAAAACAGGAGTCTGCCAGAAGTAAGTGCCCACCTAAAGGGCCAATGCACAAAATATCATTTGCAAACAATCACCCTGGCTTCCTGCAAAGGGAGAAATGAGCATACCAGAGCCATGTGAGGAGAGACTATGATTTGTGGCTCTGGGGAGAGAGCTGAAAGGACAGCCGCTAGAATACCTGTAGTGAGTCCCACTCCCACAGTGTAGATATCATCTTTCTTGGATGGAGGATTCCCCTCCTTATGGCACCAGCCTAGGAGAATGCAATAGTCCCATCCTCTGGGCTCCTACAGCATCATCTTACACAGCTTATCCCCAGCTGAGGAGTCAGCTGCTAGGACTTGGGTGTAGAGGTCTATCCTGACTCTAG